CTGAAAGGATAGCTTTCCCTCTTTTCCTACGGAATAAATAACTGGATATTAAGAAACCTATTTCTTTTAGGTGAAAATTGGTTTTAAGCGATGAGTGGGAAGAGAGAGGATTAAAAAGAAAACATTTGTATGCTAAGACTTTGTTGGAGCAGATGCCTTAAGGATTTGAAGACTAGAATATATTGCAATAAGATTTTAAACAGATTTGGACTTTCTTTCTCTTGGATTGATATTACCCCAGAAGGAGAAAGTGAGAACTCTGCCTTGGTTTGGACTGACTGATAACTTTGGGACTGTTTTATTTTTTTTATTTTCTTTTGAATATTCTGGTTGTTGTAAGAAGAAAGAAGGAGAAAAGAAAAGAAAAGATTTATAATGGCTCTTTCTGTTGAGGAATTAAGAAAAGAATATGAACAAGCAAAAAAAAAATGGTAAAGATGGTGTGGAAGAAGCTTTCCTTTTCTTAGAAATGGCGCTTATTAATTATCAACAAACATTACAACAGATGAAGACAGCAGAGGAACAAGAAAGAAAGAAAGGAGCCATTTTTAATGAATCTCAGAACTTGATCCAGAAAGAAGGAAGAGAGAAAGAAAAGAAAAGAAGAGAAAAGAAGAAAATTAAAGGACTTAAGGACTTAAGATCTAAAAAAACATTTAAGAAAGGGAAAAATAAGGTGCAAAACCAATATGATGATAGTAAACAAAAGGGAAAAGGAATACGACAGAGAAGGGAAGCTGGCAAGGCAGAGGCTAGAAGAAGGGGGGGTAGAAAGGTTTGTTGGGAGAAGAAAGAAAGGGAAAAGGTGGAGAATGTTTTGAAATTAAATGAAAAAAAGAAATTTTTTTTGGATAATGGATAAAGTATAATTTTTTTTTAAAAAAAAAAAAGATTTTGCAAGGTACATAAGATGAGATGGTAGTATTGTAATGATTTAAGAGTTGATAAGAGATTAAAATGTTAAAATGTTTAAAAATGATTGGCTTTAAAACTTAATAATAGGGGAGGTTTAGAATATTGTTTTAATTAAAGAGTTTAATAAGACTATGGTATTGATGTTATTATAAAATTTTTATTATAGTATCTTTTTTTAATATTTGGATTTATTGTCTAATTATGTACTTAATTATGTTGGATGTATTAGTTAGATAGAATGTACCAAGCAAAATCGGATTGGGTATTAGATATTATTTTAAAGATTAATTTGATTAACTTAGGGGGGAGATAGAAAGGCATCATACTCTGATTAATGATTTCAGGAGAAACTTATTTTCTTTTTTTTTATAAGGAATGAGACAAAGGGATGATAAAAAATGGACAAAAGATATAAATATAATGATTCAAATTAAGATGATTAATTAAGATAGAAGTAAGAAGTGTGAAATATGTGGGGAAGTTAATATAGAAGGCTTAGAATGGTAAATAAAATAAGTAATGATATGTAAGATGAGCATGAATATAATTGAAGTCCATGAAGAGAGAGACACCTGGGTCCAAGTTACTTTCCAAAAAGATTTTTTTTATGTTTTGTGTGTTGTGTGTATATGTCTTTTTGGGGGGGAGAATTAGTTAAAAATTGTAGAAATATAGATTGAGAATAATGGTAACTAAGTCAGAAAGAAACAGATGAAATAATAATAATGATATTGAATAAGAGTAAAGAGAAGTAAAGAGAAATTGAATAAGAGGTTTTGGTATGTTGTATGGAAATGGTTTAAAACAGAATTATAATTTATCTGACTTGTTAAATTGACAATGAAAAAAGGTTTAAACATGTAATGAATAATGACAATTTGTGTGTTTTAAAAATTAATAAAACTTGTTTTAAAAAAAAAAAAAAATCTGGCTAAAAGTTACAAGCCAAATTAAATAAGGCTACAGAATATAAGTGCCATAGTGGAATAACACTTTCCAAACAACTTGAGAGCATTCATGATTGTTATAAATTGAAATTGATCTACTTTAACTATATAAACGTAATGGCAAAATACATCTTGACTCTACATTAGAGATGAGATCTAGGCTACCTCAAATGCAAATATATATATATTGTCAAAACCCCACTCATAGCAACACTGTTTTAAACTAGTTTCTCATATGTAATTGGTTATAAAACATAATATGCCAATGAATGTTAATAAAATTAGTGCTTGAGCAATATTTCTGAAGTAATGTAGTCTGTTTAACTCAAGAAAGCAAATATTATGGTTTAACCACAGTATCTCCAGCCCTGATATAAAATGTTTATCACTTTACCATTCATGTACATGAAATACAGCTTTCCCTGTTTTATTAAGGGGGGAACCCCAAGTTACATATTGGGGAAAAACATATTTGTATTTCTAAAGAAATGTATTGATATTCTGACTTGAGAGATGTGATGATCCAGCCATATTATTACCTGGTACATAGCATAAACTTCTAAATTTGGGACATGACCCAACCAAATCAATAATATCAAATACATGAAGCATGCAGAAGGAAAGTGGAAGACTATGAGACTATTAGGAGACTATGTGAATAGTACAAAGAACATTCACAACCAGAATGGCATCATGGGATCTTAAGGCAAATATGACAATATACTTCTACAAACTTTTTTTTCCATCTCACCTCTTCTGTGTTCTATTTTTTTTAAAGATAACTAAGAGAGAAATTGAGGATGAGAATGTTCTTGTGGCTTCAGATATGCACAGGAAAGATCTTTTACTTGGGATTAATAAACTCAAACACCTTGAGTTTCTATTTAATATTAGTTTGGAACAGAAAAAGAAAATTTAGTGAAACATATAATATTGATATTAGCGGACATGGATATTTTTAAGGACTTGTTGGCAGGTTTTAACTTATTTCAGCTTATACAGATTTTTAAATGAATGACAACTGTAGAATTATCCTGGCTCTAATTCGGGATTTCAAACTGATAAAAGGACTATAACAAAGAAAAAAAATATCGTATCAGTGATTGTGTTCTTTGGTAAAAAAGGTTACTGTCCATCAATCCACACTCTTGAGCAGGGGCTCAAGCAGTGGAAGCTAATCTTCTGCCTCCAAACAGATATCTCAGTTGACCATATCCTTATTCGAAATCTCAGCAAGAAAGAGGAAGAGTAATTTTTTTTGGTTTAAATACTGGTAATTTAAATTAGAAAATAGTGGCTAATTTTGTTATGCCTTCAAGTTCAATTTGTTTTCATATGTAGAATCACTTAATTGCCTTTTTAATAATTTACTAAGTTTATCAAGACATACAGTAAAATTAAAAAGGAAAGTGAAAATAATGGGAAAATGGGGAGGAAAAAAGGGAAAACAAAGCAATGTAGGGGAAAGAAGGGAAAAAAGAGAAACACAGACTTCCACGCAGTAGAATAAGTAGTAATATTACAGCCTCAACTTTTTACTTTTACATACTAGTCCATACTAGCCATTTCTATAACAACCAACTTATCTAATCAGCAAAACCCAAAGTAAAAGTCTCAAATATAACATCCAAAAGTGGTTTCCAAGTAGAAAGAAAGTGAGATGGATTATTTTCTTTGATTGAACAGTCAATGTAGCCATCTTTGCTAGTTCCATCTATTTTTCTAACTATTCATCCATTCTGGGAATTAAAATATCTTTCCATTTTTGTCGTTAAAGCATTCTTGCTGCTGTCTATAACAACAAAGATACAGATTTCCTTCAAGTTCTTTGACCTTTAAGCCTAAAAGAAAAGTCTCTGATTTTTATATTCATTTTAACAAACTTTTGTATTTAAATATGAATCTTACCCAGTATTTATTTCTAACATATATTTAAGACTAGCTCTATAACTGTGCTTCGCACAGTTATGTGATCAGGCTTAGGTTTTGGGGAGTGGGGTGAATTCTGCCTCTGCCTACCAGCATCCATCAGTATTAATCTGGCTAGTGTCCTGTCAGTGTGGGAGAGAGTTGAGGGCTGTTTGGAAACTGAAACAGTATTTGCTGTGTGAGCAAGGAGACAGCAAGGAGCCAGGGCATGGCTTAGCTCAACTGTTCTGTACTAAAGCTGATTGCTGCTTTATGGTTCTGGAGATTTTGTGATGATGTGTGAGTGGTATTTTCCTTTATATATATGTTTGTACATCTTTGACAGTTTATTAGGTGTTAAATACCAATGGCACATCATTTTATTAAAAAATATTTAAAATTTAATTTAACGTAAATTTTAAACCATTCATCCAATATGTTTTCCCATGATTGAAGCATTATATCATACCCTAAATACTTTGCCCATTGGATCATGCAATGGCTCACATGTTCGTTCTCCAAATTCAATTCCAACAAAAATTTATAAACTTTGGCAATAACAAAAACCGTTTAACTTCTCAGTCTACACATTTACTATATTAATAAAATATAATCTAGATCAGGGGTGTCAAGGCCTATATTAGGCACATTTAATATTGATAAAACTCTACTTTTTCCAAATTTGCCCCTATATTACAAAAGAAAACATGGATAATTTGGTTTAGTTTCGTAGCGTTATTAAATTAGTACAAGAAAACAGAATTAATTGAAATCTGTTATTTTGCCATGCACAGATGGCATGAATCAATTTTTACCCTCACACCAGTGGTGGTATTCAACAGGTTCTGCCCGGTTCTGGATAGCCGGTAGCGGCGATGAGCAGTGGAGACCAAACCGGTTCTCTCTGCTGCTCTGTGCCCACCCACCTGCCCAGGCTCCCATACTCACTTTTATGGCTAGAATTCAAAGTGCAGCTGCTTTGCGCAGCGCAGAATATTGCCGCGCGGCAGCTGCTGCAGCGACCACCATCATGCAGGCTTGCAGGAGGCAAGTTAGAACACCTCTGCGCCTGCGCAAAGTGCGTGTTTGGTGTGCGCGTGCACGCAAAGTGTGTGCATGCGTGCAAAGCGTGGCCACCAAGCCACGCCCACCGAACCAGTGGCAACTTTATTTGAATACCACCACTGCCTGACACATACAAAAAACCCAGTGAAAACTCAAGGTCTGGGTTAGGGACTTCTGTCGTCACTGTGAGTTGTGTCGGGGAGGTGTGCACGAAGGGAGGTTCAGCCAATCTCATTGTACACATGTTGTACTCTGACAATAAAGGTAATAATAATGAAATCTATGGAATTTGTTGGTTGTAACTACAGCAGTTCCATAGCCTTGATAAAACATTAAAAAAAAAACAGCCCCATGAAATGCAAGTACAATTTATTTCTCAGTTTGAAGAAGACCTGCTGTTGTGCAAGTTCATCTGTGAATATGGAGATGGCTCTGCACTCCCAGTGTGGAAGTGCAGAATTCATCAGAGTTATAACAAACTTATGTCATGTGTCAAAGATGAGATATCACAACATTCTGGGTGATACACTAGCATTTACCATCACCTGAAAATAAATATTCTAGAAAGCACAACCTACACAACAAGGCAGTCAAAGTTTTCCAAAGTCACTTCAAGAATGAAGGCTTTGTGTGATCTGGAGCTGCCTCAAATAGGCTACAAGGGCTTGTCAACAGAAAGAATGCACTCCCTGAAGATAAACAGCATGCAACAGATCCTGGAAATCACATATTTATTTTGTCAAGCCATTATAAGATAACAGGTATAAGTATAAACATAGTTATGAATACATGAAATGGATACATATAAGGGGAAAAAAACAATAGGACAAGGACAGTAGGCATGTTGGTGCGCTTATGCACGCCCCCTACAGACCCCTTAGGAAAGGGGTGAAGTCAATAGTAGACAGACTAAAGTTAAAGTTTTTGGGGTTTGGGGATATATACCACTGGTCTGTATTTTTAAATAAATGAGTATATAAAGAATTGTTTGTCTTTTATTCAGGGAGGGGATGTGTGTAGTAGCATGCCAGCAGAGTTAACTTAGCCATTTTCTGAATTTTTGACATATCTGAGGCCCAAAAGTCTATTATTGCAGGTCTAGCATAGTGGGAGCACTGAAAGTCCATTGTTGCAGTAATTGTTGAAATCCAACTCTACCTCAAAGCAGGCGCTTTGTCTCCACTGTACAGAACCGGTCAGTGTCACCTTTACTAATTCTATGTCACTTCAATAAAGATGTGCACTGAATACTGCTTTTGTAGACGCTTACACTATTTGCTCTGCTTTAGGTGTTTGGTAATTCTATTATTATTTGACATTATTATTGTGGGTTTTGTTGTTGTTGTTTGGCCACTAAGTATTCTACTCTGGAAACTGCCTAAAGTTGTGATACAGGCAACATATAATTTTGATTGATTAAATAAATAAATGTTAGAAAAAGAGAACAAGGCCGGCTGGCAATTGTCTGTGAAAAAATATTGTCATTCTTTGTGGTTAAAAAGAATGGTTCTTCATCTCAACTTAAACCCAGGTGTTGAAATAAGATTGTCAAAATTGAAATGTATTAACTACTTCCTGGGTCATTTTGGATCAGCTTGTAAATCACAAGGAAGTGAATAAACAGTGCATAGAAATAAAGGCCACCGCCTATTACTCAACACTTTACTGGCAGAGTTATCCATGGCCCTTTGAACTAATAAAATTAAAGAGTATTTGTCAAAGGTTGTTTATATATACCCAGGTCATCCTTACAGATGGAGAATAGTAACTCTTCTATTTGCCTTAGGCTGCTTCCGGCTCCTTTAATTCCATAAAAACAGAAAAAAATTTTCCTCTCATTTCCATACCAACACCGCTATACTCAGCTGCCTCTCCTCAGCTTTTATAGCCATATGCTGATGGGATGGCTAGAGAGGTCTTACAGGGACAGGGCACCAGCAGCCCAGGTGCTAGCCATTTTGCAGGCAAGATGTCCTTTGACACGCATATTCCAATTTTAAATACCCATCAAAAACATTCCAGGATGTGACTTCTGTAAAATCCTAGTAACTCTTTTCGTAATTATTAAACACACTACCAAGGAGGGTAGATTTTTTTCCAGATCTTAGGGCCAACTCATATTACGTTTGTATGGAAGTGATTCCTCCATATAGGAATTTTTACCATGTTTATGTGAATACAAAAATTACAATTTTGCAAATATGTACCATTAAAAAAATAAGGCTTTATGAAATGGGACAATGACAACCTGTAAATTAAAAAAAAATGGACTTTTGTATTTAGTAATGCCCCGCCCCTTTTAACCATCAGTTAAAAGTATTACAACTGTGAAAAAAACAGCACACTGAGAATTTACAAAACAATACACAAATATTGAACTACGATACATAGTCAGCATCAAACATTCTTATAACATACCTACTGAACAAGTGTATTCATTGTCCCAATTGTCCTTAGGAATGCATGCAGGAAACACCAGAAAGTAAATTCAGCATTTAATATTTTACTGCAAGCTGCCCAGGGTCACTTAGGTGACATTGGGGTTGTAAAAATGTGATGGATAAATGGATGGGTAATGGATAAATAAATAAATAAATATCTATGGCTGTCCTTTCTCCTGTGATTTCCAAATACCCAATTCCTCCCCTCCTATCTGTCTTGAATAAAGTATGCTATGCAATATTTTCCTGTAACAACATTAGAGGAAACTAAGTTCAACTTGTACTTACCTGGCCAGTAATGCCAGTGATGAGAGCTACTTTCTTGGTACTCATACCTGCACAGGTACCGGTACCAGCTGCCAGTTCACAGTTGGGGCAGGTGCTTTCTGAGGATACTCCACAGACTTAAAAGAGGGGAGGGCCTACAGGAATTCTCTGCTGGGTGCAGAGAAATGGGAGGGCACCTAGCAATCGGATGAGCTGTACTTGCAAAGAGGTGTGTGTGTACACGCCCAGGTGCTCTAACAAGAAAACCCGGAAAGGGGTGCAGTCGAGGGGAAAGGCCCGTTTAATGGCACCGAAAGGGCAGAAATGATAACGGAGGCTCGGAGAATAAGGGGAGAAAGCATAACCGAAAACCAGGGGCTGCGGGTGGTGGCTTTAGAAAGGTTGGGGGGCAGGTCAGATTAGGAAAGCTTTAGCGTTTGCTATTGCTCGCGCCGTGACTTGGGCTGCATTTCCACGTTCGTTTCTGCACGGTTCTTCTAGGTAACTGGGTTGTCTCCCTCCCCGTCGTCGCGCCCCCCCCCCCCCCCCCCCCACTCGCTTGCTTGCTAGCCGGCGGAGTTCTGCGCGCGCACTCCCCTACCCGCGCGCGCTCCTCCGTCCTGCCACGCGCTCAGAACGTTGGGAGTTGCTTCTGTTCTATAGGCTCGCGCGCCAAAGGGACGGGGTCTCTAACGCCAGTCAGTTTCTCTTTAGCAAGCCGGCCGGCTGGCCTGTAGCTCCCGTCGCTTCCTCTCCTTGAAAAACAGCGGCAGAAACTTTTCTGCCAGCCAATCAAAAGGCACGTTCGAATTTAACGGGGGCTTGCCTCTTTCTCTCTTTCTCTCTCTCTTTTAAATGTTATAGGGGTCGGGAAGAGCTCAGGCGGTCGAGGAGAGGCGCGGGGGAACGTGAGGCGGTGGGGGGGGAGGGGGTTGCTAGAAGAGCTGCGGGAGGACAGGCGGAGAAACTGAGAGGATAGCGGCACGCCAACTGAAGGACGCTTCCGGGTTTTAGCCAGCTGAAAGGGTGGGGGGGAAAGAGGCCCTTGCGCATGGGGCGCATGCGTCGCGCGGAAAGCAACTCTTTCGAGAGGGCGCCACCTACTCAAGGAGGAATGAAGTGCAGCCAGGAAGGTTTTCTTCGGGATTGATGAAGTGGCATCAAGTCGGCGTCGACCTTCAGGGAGGTCCTAAAATAGACAAATCTCTCGGGTTATCAGTCTCCGACTCGGTGTTGTGGTTTTCCCGCTGGAGCATTCACTCCTCCCCGAGCTGAATCCAAGCACTTTGCTGCTGGTCGTTTGCTGCTTTTTCTCTTTCCTTCATCGTTCCCCAGCATTATGGATTTCTCCCAAGGCAGCCGGGTCTTTGCGTAATGTGCCCAAAATATCGTAGCATGAGCCTGATCATTCATGGTTTAAATGAAAATCCTTAATTTATTTGTTCTATGAACCATTTATTGGTTTTTCCTGGCTGCTTTCCGTATCCTTCAAAGTCTGTTTTAGAAGTTGAATGCATCAATACTCTTTTGATCTTGCTTTTAAGTTCACAATTTGAATCTGGGGTATAAAAGGTAAAAACATTGTCTGAACAGATCACAGTATCGAAATATATTTTCCAAGAGTTTGATGTCTACAAGTTTCATGAAAGGAAGAAAGTTATAAATATAATAAGCACAATGTGGTAAACCACATGAAGTCTTAGCATACTATGAGAATCGGTGCGCCACATAATAAGATACATTTGTTTTATTTAGCATGACACATGAAATTATTAAATTGGGATTGCTAACTTTGGCTTATTATTTAACATGGTTTTTGAGAGGAGTGGATAGGAAGAAAAATAGGAATTATTTAACAGAGACAATAGAAAATTAATGGCAGAGGTAGAAAAGGGAAGGGTGAGTCTGATTTCATTCATGAGAAGGTTAAATGGTCTGTTGAGGTTTAAAAGGATGTTACTACTTTATGAGAAAAAAAAGGATTTGGCAAAGATCTGACTTTTTAGCAATATATTTAGATATCATCTTGGTGCATGAGTAGTTTTTCTTTATAATATGTGGCATTTTGCCATGTTTTTAAAGATACTTCTTTGTTTCAATACATAATTCTGCTGCTTGCTGGTATAGAGTCTTATGGTATAACACTTTAGTATGGCGCAGGCCAACAATTTCCTTGTATTATTTGAGGAAATGGTTCCAGTATTGTTTTAATCCTGCTGCCTGATGAATGTAAATAATTTATGACAACCTTGCAACACAATTTTTAACTGATATACTTTTTTCCCCAATTGTTAGGGAGTAACTGTAGATTCTTGGGATAGTGGGAGAGTGATTACTCCCATGTTTCAGAGACGTAGTAAGAAAGAACCAGTTGGGGGACTGAAGATTATTAACTAATTTTTGAGGTCTAAAGGGCAAGGGAGAATAATAGTGTTTGAGCCAAGTCAGAAAGTGCAAAATGGAAATAGAGAAGACAAAGTGAAGTTGACCAGGCTGAAGTTGCACGAAATTTGGGTGGGCTGGCTAAAAGGATAACAAGCAAAGTCTTGCTATGTTAGAAAATCAGATGGCAATGAAATGGAAAAGACAGGCATTTCTTTCCTTGGATGTTGAGAATAACTAATGTACAATAAATAGCCTGGATGTTCAAAAGATCAAGCCAATATTGTCATGTAATACTAATATTTCAGGAGTTACATTGGTTGCCAGTTTATTTCTATGTGTAATTCATAGTGCTGGTTATAATCTTTAAAGTCCTGTGTGGTTTGGAAGCTTGTTTATCTGTAATATGAAAAACTTCATATTTATTGATCTCTAATGGCAACTAAGCACATGACAGCCAATGTTGAATATGCAAGGCCTGTAATATGTCTTCTACCTTTAAAGCTGCAACTGCACATTTATATATAATAATTAATTAATGGACAATCTTATCAGTGAATTTTTGTAAAAGCCCACTTCAGATTTTGCTATTTTAATATAAAAAGGGGGGCAAATAGAATTAGCAAACACAGCTCTTCAACACCTATGAATCTATAAATGTCTAGATGATATTAATTGACAGAAAATATTTGGAGGATGAGTACGAAATAGAATATCCATTTTAAAATCACAGGAGTGAGGCAAAATTGATTTGCAGCTACTAAATACTAATACTAATACTAAACAGATTTTTCTTATTTTAATGGGAATAGATGCCTTTTCATACACATACTTACATTTTCTACTCCAGACTGATATATTTCCCTTTTAGTTCTAAACTTACTTATTGTCCCACATATTCTTCCTAAAACAAAGAATTTCCCTGGCTTGTAATAATACAAAATTTTTGAGTTCTCTGGATTCAAACATACTCTCAAAAATCTCAGATTACTTCTACATAATTGAACATATTATGGTAAATCCAGACCAAAAGTTCCTGTTAATTTTCCAAGGAATGTTCATGATTTAGTCTAGACATCAAGAAGCTTGTCCACTTTCCTCAGTGAAAATTGGTTATTGGCAAGATTGTATCTGGCTTTGTTATAAAATTAGTGGAGTAGGTCACTTCTGAATGTGAGACTGTTAAACGAAAAAAGTATCCCTTACACTCTTCACTATTTGAATTCCTATGATACATTGAATTGTCTATCTTCTATATCTGTGAGAAAATTATTTTGTGTAATATTTAGCATGCTATGTAAGTATAGCTGAATGTAAGACTATCTCTTTGTTGTATTGCAGCGTGCTAAAAAGAAAGCCTGTAATAAAAGGAAATATTATATTATATACTCTGTACAATGTTCCACTAGTACATAAAAAATAACTTCCGGTGTTTTATTCCCTTGTTAAACCTGGGAAAGCACCTGCTCCTTTTGCCAGAAGGAAATAAACACGATTAAAGCAACACTGTACAATGATATTTTCTGAGACTCCACCCTTTAAGCAGCATTCTGAGATAATCCAAGAAGTAGTGAGTCGGGCCTATTTAGTTACTTCTTTAGTTTGAAACTTTTTGAAGGGATTCAAAAATTACATAGTAGCCTGTAATAACATCAACCTCAGTCTAATTAATTCTAGTATAACAATTATATTGTCTGTACTATACAAAGTGGTACAAGACAAGACATTCATTCCATTTATGTTCTGTTCACATTTATTCCTGTGAAATACTCAACAACTAAGTGCATGTTTCTTTGGCAAGTACTGTTTAAAAGTGTGGAAAATTGCACTGACTAAAATGTTAGCGCACTAAGAAAAAGAAGAAAAGAAAAGAAAAACATGTTGACTATAGTCACACTCGGTTCCATTTTTACTGTATTAACAAATACAGTATATCCTCTTGGATTTCATAGATTTATGAATGTGGCTTGGCATATACTGTTTAAAATTTTATTTCCTTAAGATTACAAATTGATTTATGTAAACCTGCAACGATGACTTATTGGGGTAGGAGATAGATTTTTTTTGTGTGTATGTAGTTTTTTTCGGGTGGGGGGAAGAGTTGTTTTTTATGGTGTTTTATTTATTTCAATGTTTTCTTGATTTGGTCAAATAAAAATTTAAAAAATAACTAAATACTTGCTTCTTAGACAAATAAAATATAAAATGTAAAATTGATAAAAGATGTAGAATTCTCAAGATGAGAAAGCAAGCTATGCGATCTGTGTAAATAAGTATAAAATGAATCAGTATAACAATTAATGTCAGTAAATGTACATCAGTTGGGGCTGAATCATTAACAACACCCTCAAAATTGAATACTGCTAGCACTGTATATATATTCCTTTTTGTAATTAAAACTCAATTTCATACACATTCTTTTTATTCATAATGCATCTGTAATTCAGTTTGACTACTTTGTCAACATTAGAAACAAAAGTCAGTTATCAAACCAATGCTTCACTCATAACAAATTCCTTGGAATGAAGATCTGAGATGTAGAAATCAAAAGCAGATCTGAGATGTAGAAATTTGCAAAACTAGATTAATCCACTTTCCTTGGAATGTCATTACTTTACTTGAAGATGGAAAAATAAAAGCGTGGATCTGCCATAATATCACAAAAGTAGTAAAGTGAAAGTTAAGTTCTTAACAAGTGGTTAATATATATAAATTGTATAAAAATCAGGAGAAATTTCTATTTTTTGTATGAAATGAAAGTGCGGCTGAAATCATGAACGTAAAAGTATAACATGAGCAAATGGTTAATTACATTCTGAGTCTAAAATTAGTAAATCTTTCTGGATGCCAGATTTGATCATATTTGATCACTTCAGCTCAAGTGTCTTCTCCCTCTAGAAGATTGATGACCATGATTCTGTTTCTAACTCACTGTTCCACACCCTTGATAATTTGAACCAGTCCAGTAATGTTTGTTGCTACTCCAAGAATCTCTTTTTCATCCTTGTATATTTTTGTACAGATATAAATACTGTGAGAAAAAGAAATGGGGGAAAAGCTTTGAGAGTTTATGAAAAGAAGGCTTAGGGGTGATGTGATAGCTGTCTTCCAATCCTTGAAGGATTGTCACAGGAAGGAGGAGGTTGATTTGTTCTCCAATGCATCTGAGGGCAGGACAAGAAGCAATGGGTGGGAGCTCGTCAAAAGGAGATCCTACTTGGAACTAAGGATGAATTTCCGGACAAAATGATTAATCAGTGGGACAGCTTGCTTCCCAGAGCTTCATCACTGGAGGGTTTCATGAAATGATTAGACACCATTTGTCCAGAATGGTATAAAGACTCCTGCCTTGGGCAGGAGGTTGGTCTAGATAGAAGACAGACATCCACGTTCCCTTCCAGCCCTATGATTCTGTGATTCTAATCTTTAATAGCAATCTAAGAGAACATTTAACAGGTGTAGCTTTTCTCACCACATTGCCAAAATCCTTCCTTTTCTGAAATGATTAAATTTAAAAGACTCTTTACAGTAGGTCACTGTGGTAGCTTGGTTGACAGCCCATTATCAGTCCTCATAAAAATGAATATTGCCCTCTTAAAAATTCCTACTTGGGTAGGATTTACTGATCTCTTGGAAATAGTGAATCTTTTGCAGCTTTCTTAGCCTTGTATGCCGCAAACATATGAAGAAAAAGGGATACCTGAATACGTTTAAGTTGAAGTAGTTAACATACAGATAGTTGCTTCAGACAGTGTATTTTAAAATGACTATTAATTTTTTAAAAAAATATATTAATTCCTAGAACCTTCAAGAAATGCATACGTAGAAGTGTTATCAAGTTACATTTATAAGGACAGATTTCCCAGTAAATCTCTACTGAATCCTAGTAGGGCAATTAGTTTTGATTTAGATTGTAACTTACAGTGTGGCTCTGGAATTCTCTGCTAATATTGGATCTAGTCCTATGGCATAAACTCTTTTCAAATATTCAAATTATCAGGGTTCATACTTTGGTCCCTGGGTCTTCGATTTAACAATCACTGAAAAGTGGGAAGATACATACTTTGATTCTTACAATTATTGCCGCTTCTCCCAGTTTGGAACTCCCAAATGATTTGGGAGCTTATAGATAAAAATACATATAGTGTGTAAAAATTGTTTGCATAATATGAACAGATTGATTTACCAACATAATTGATTTTTGTTAGAAAGATGCTTTTCTGTGCCCTCGAAAAGAAAGCTTCTTGTCTTTAAAACAAATGCAGCTCATATGGTCTTGTAAAAAAAGTATGAAGTGAAGAGCATTCCTTTTCATGTAATAAGCATCCTGCATTACATTTGAAGATACATCCTTCATTCTTTTAACTTCAGGATATGGATTGGTCAGTCATGCAACATTAACCCTCCTCATAATTTTCCAAATTATCATTGGCTGATGTCTGTAAAAATAGTGAGGTGAATGATGGAACAATGCAGATAATAGTACTTCTGATGTAGATGTGAAGCTTGGGATTAATAATTCTTCAGAGCAAAAAAGAAAAAGAGAAATGGCAGTAGAAAGAGCAGCTGATAGATGTTCTAAAACCAGATGTTGCATCTAGTATAAACAGCAACTTCACATTGTCAATCAAATTATGTGAGTTGTTAAAACAGAATAGATTAAAACCTTGAAAAAAAAGTACCATAAATGGTAAATACTGAGGTACTAAGAAATGGAGAATTTGAACATGAGCAGGCTATCTTGATGTTCCAGATATTTTCAAGAAACTGTCCAGTATTAAGCAGTTTTCTTCTGAAGCAGCAGGGAGCAATCTTACCTTTTTATTTTTTCCAACTCAACAGAAATTAAGTAAAAGGGTTAAGAATTCTGTCTGTCAATCAGCTAGCAGCAATCAAGATTCTGAAAACCAAACAGAATGCTGGAAGAACCTACCAAAAGAAAGAACATGTTTCAAATGGGTTGAACAGACTGGGAGTTGCAGAAAAAAATTCTTGGGAGGGAGGGGGAAAGCCCAATACATCTCTATAGAAGAGGCATTTGGGTAGCAACTTAGAATTTGCCATCTGTTTCATTCCAAGTCTCTCATCCTCTCTCCAAGTCACACTGTCCAGAGCAGAGCATCTTCCGTCCACAGTTCTTCCCAGTAGATACATGTACACAATCAGATTTACCTTTCCACAGTGCTTTATAGCCCACTCTGAGTGGTTTACAGAGTCAGGATATTGCCCCCAACAATCTGGGTCCTCATTTTACCGACCTCAGAAGGATGGAAGGCTGAGTCAACTTTGAGCTGGTCAGGATTGAACTCCTGGCATATGTACTGTAGATGTTATGTGAAGGAGAACAGAAACCTACACAGAGAGATAACACATAAAGCACCCACCTGATACATCTGTCTCTTACACTAAGAAATACATTGCCTTTAAAAATCATTTAGAAATGCCAGATTTTCCAAAGTGTAAAGGTCTACTGATTGACAGGTGCTAATCATTGTGAACTGTCTTCCTGGCCTTGAGTTGGTTACTGTCATGGAACGTGGGAAATGATCTTGGGAGGCAGGGGAAGAGCTGCAGCCATGGCGACAGTAAGATAATAGACAGCTTAGCTTACAGCACAATGTGTAGCAGGATGTGGGTGTAGCAAACATCTCAGAAGAGACCCTCCCTAGTTTCTTGGGCTGCAAAAGCAAAGGGGGAGAAATGCACTTTCAGGCTTGCAAGATTCTGTAAATTCAACCTTACAATAAAGTGGAGTTTGTTTTGGATGTGCTTCTTCTCTGGACTACCTTGCAAGGCAGACAGTTAACAAAAGGTTTCTGGCTTTAAGTGCTAGTTTGATATTTACAAAACAAATATGGCTTGGTACATGGATACCTACAGGATGGCCCGGTGAGGAGATACTCCTGGGAGAAACTTCTTCTGATACAGGTAGTCCTCAACTTACCATCACACTTGAGCCCAAAATTGACGTTGCTAAGTGAGTTTTGCCCCATTTTACGACTTTTCTTGCCACATTTGTTAAATGAATCACTGCAGTTGTTAAGTTAGTAACACGGTTGCTAAGCGAATCGGGTTTCCCCATTGACTTCGCTTGTCAGAAGTTGGCAAAAGGGAATCACATGACCCTGGGACCAGTGGTGGTATTCTACCGGTTTGGCCCGGTTCTCCCGAGCCGGTAGCAGCGACGAGCAGCTGAGACCGAACTGGTTCTCTAATGGCTCTGCTGTTGGGCCCACCTGCCCGCCCGGGCTCCCATACTCACCTTTATCCTCTGCTTTTGAAGTGCACCTGCTTTGCACGGCACAGCACAATGCCGCGCGGCAGCGGCTGAAGCAACCGGGAGTGTGCAGGCTTGCAGGAGGTGAGTTGGAACGCCTCTGCGCCTGCGCAAACGCCTCTGGGTGCACATTTGGCACACACGTGCATGCAAAGTGTGTGCATGCACGCGAAGCGCACCCACCAAGCCACGCCCACCGAACCGGTGGTAACACTTTTTGAATCCCACCACTGCCTGGGATACTGCAACCATCATAAATATGAGTCAATTGTCAAGCACCCGAATGTAAATCATGTGACCATGGGGATGCTGCAGTGCTCAGAAGTGTGAAAAATGGCCGTAAGTCACTTTTTTTAGTGCCGTTGTAACTTCAAATGGTCACTAAGCGAACTGTTGTAAGTCGAGGATTATCCATACTACATTTCAATGAGGTGAGAAAGCCCGAGGGTAGAAGGTACTACTTGCTTTACAAATGCGAGTTGATTATTTTTTCCTTTGAAAAAACAAGGGCCCAAATAGTTTAATATTGTAAGTGATTTATTTCCATTGCAAAATAGTTGATATGGGGGAAACAGGAGTCTTTTGCTACTTCTAGAAGCAATATTTCAACTTGCCTCATAACATAGAAAATAATTGTTGTTTTTCTTCCTATTTTTATTGAATTGGGGCAGCAATCAATTTATATCAGTGTAGAAAATATGGTAATTTGGGGGTTCCTATAACATGTTTTTTATATAATTGTTATTCACAGCTGTACAGTAATGAACTTTGTGTGTAGCCTGTACTGCCATCTACTGGCTCTCTTTGGAAAACATATATTACAATTCACAAAACGTATTTTTAAAATACTGCATGTGTATTTATTTCTTTCCAAAATAAGTTTAATAACTCCATATTCTCAGCAACCCTATTTCCATAAATATTGTAAGGAAAATTTATGTATTAAAATATGTACGCCATACTGTAACTATTTAGAATGGTTTTAGCAAATAACTGCTGACCTGTTTCTTTTTCTTCCTTCTTTCTGCTCCCTACTGCTTCCTCTTTACTGGCTTTCTATCCTTAGGAAAGGATTTGGATTTCATTATACAATAATGTTCACTCAACCAAATAAAAATCACCTATTATAAGAAGATTATTTAAAGACTTGCCTTCAAAAAGGAATAGCCCTAATATTTTGCTAAATGCTCACATTGATTATTATTGTGACTACAACTGATTCACGAGTCCCATGTTTAGCAATAGCAATAGCATTTAGACTTATATACAGCTTCACAGTGCTCTACAGCCCTCTCTAAGTCTTTTATAGTGTCAGCATATAGCACCCAACAATTTGATTCCTCATTTTTACCGATCTCATAAAAATGGAAAGCTGAATCAACCCTGAGCTGGTCAGTGGACAGAGTTAGCCTGCAATAATTGCATTCTAACCACTGTCCCACCATAGTTCAGTGATTAGTTTAGCTATAATTAGTTTAGCTATAATTATTTTTCTTTGGTAACAAAAGAATGACATTAATAAAGTTACAAGTCGGATTTTTGAAATACAAATGCTTCCAAAGTTCAGCCTTCCACCCATTGCTATTGAAATATGTGTGTGTAAATGAGAAGAAAGAGAGAGAGAGAGAGAGAGAGAGAGAGAGAGAGGGAGGGAGAGAGAGGGAGAGAGGGAGAGAGAGAGAATTATGTACATTTACCAATTGTTGAAGCAGGATAAACTACAGGTGAATTTGTTTGGTAGTAATATTGGGAAGGGATTAAACTTGATTTTTAAAATTCATTCTATCAGCAATGCAAAAAGTTTGTAGTTAAATACTCAGAGCAAATTAATATTGCTATGCTATATTTTAGACATAAAATTAATAAGAACCAGTTTGTTCTACTGGTTATGGCAGGGGTGTCAAACTCGGTTTCATTAAGGGCTGCATCAGGGTTGTGTTTGACCTGGTGTGTGTGTGTGTTTGTGTGTGGCCAGGTTGGGTGTGGCCAGCTCGACATCATTTGTGTCAGGAGCACCTGTGGTGGGCCAAGTGCTCTGCTAGTGAAAAACGGAACTTGGGAGGGCTGTGAGAGGCCCTCCCAACTCTGTTTTCACTGGCAGAGGGTTGTAGGAGGCCATTCGCAAAAACAGAGCTTGGGAGGCGCACACTGTCCTCCCGAGCTCCGTTTTTGCTGGCAAAGACACAGCGGACCGGTCCATCGCTGTTTCCAGGGCAGCCCTGTGGGCCAGATCTAAGCACTCTGTGGGCTGGATCCGGCCTGTGGGCCTTGAGTTTGACACCCCTGGGTTATGGCATCAGGCTAGAAACCAGGAATAGGTGAATTCTAGTCTCTTAGGCACAAAGCCACCTTGAGACAGTCTCTCTCAGCTCTAGGAAGGAGGCAATGGCAAACCACATATGAAACCTTGCTGAGAAAACTGCAGGGACTTCTCCAGACAGTCTCCAAGAATTGGACACGGTTGAACAGGAGGAAAATAAATAAGATAAATATATTAATGTTGATATTAATATATATTAATGCGTTAGATTGCCCGAACCAAAAGTGAGCGTGAGGTCCTCCCCTAAATACAGAAGCTTATTTGTCTACTTCATTTACAGGTAGTCCTTAACTTACAACTGTTTGTTTAGTGGCCGTTCAAATTTACAATTACACTGAAAAAAGTGACATATTTATCGTTCTTTATACTTATGATCATTGCAGCACCCCAATGATCACATGATCACAATCTGAACACTTGGCAACTGACTCATATTTTATGACGGTTGTGGTGTCCACGTGTCAGGTGATCGTCTCTTGTAACCTTCTGACTAGAAAAGACAATGGAGAAGCCAGATTCAGTGAACAACCATGTTACTAACTTAACAACTGCAGTGATTCACTTAACAACTGTGCCAAGAAAGATCATGAAACGGGGTAAAACTCACTTAACAACTGTCTCGCTTAGCAACAAAAATTTTGGGCTCAATTGTGGTTGTAATTCGAGGACTACCCGTACTTGAACACGTGTTAGTATTTTCTGGCTTATATAAGGGCAACAACTAATTTAGACATGCAAGACATATTTATTTATTTAACAAATTTAATAAACCTATCAAAATGAATTCTGGGCAATGAACAAGAATAAAATACAATGCAATTATGACAAAAGCATTGAAGTGAACACCAAAAAATTCACTTCCTGACAGCTCTTTTTCTACCATTTCTGTCTTCTGTTACCAATTTCCTGTCTCCTTTTCTTCATTGTTTTTCAAACCATTCTACAAGACTCAAGTACCTCCAATATACATCTGCTATTCTTCAGTACCTTTTCCTTATTACTATTTGTTTTAAATCCTCAGCCCATTGCTTAATATTTATAAAGAAGAGTTTGTAACCTCCTACAATTTTGGTACAATGCCTTCCTCCATAAAGTTATGTTATAATCTGAGTAATACTTTAAGAGAGTATTTTACAGCCTATAACTAAAATGAGGTCATTATTGTTCCAGAAAATATCTATGGATGGATTAAAAAAAACCCAATCTCTTGGTCTGAGCCTTGGGAGTATGTTTGGCTTCAAATTAGACATGCTTTCCCCTTCCTTTTCATTGTGCCAACCCTGAGAACATTATTTCAAGACACATTGCTGTCTGAGCAGGCTCATTTTTGCCAAATTGCACTGGTGATGTTACCTAGTTTGGTAATGAAACGTTCTCAAGAACACAACCAAGCTCAGAGAGCACCAACGACCTCTCAAATATCCATTTATTTAATAACCTCCTTCATTTTCTTTTCTTGATCGTTATGGTGGAATAGCTCTGAAGGTCAGTCGCTCCAATAAGCAGTTCACATGTATCCTAAACAAGCATAGATCAGAATAAATGATAAAGACAAATGACCCCCAGTGTATTGCTTAATGTGTATATGATCATAAATCTTATTCCCCCCCACACACTTTTGTTTCTTTTCTTTTTTTTTTGTCCTTTTGTGGCCAGGTCTTTCCAGGTCATCACCATTTATTCATAGGCACACCGGATGCTGCTTTTCCTGAACCTAATTTCTGCCTTTACAGTAGTCTTGCTTTTCCATTGTATTAGCTGTCTGGGCAGGATGTTCAACCTGAGAAACTTGCTTCTTGTGGAAGGGACCCCAATTAGTTATCCAAGTGACCCTTGAGATGATCATTATTTAATTAAAATAAAAAGGGTTGAATCATTGCCGATACACTTTACTTGTGTTTCCTTTTGGAAGCAACAGTTTCAGCAGTTTAATGTCTTAAATGGACCATGGCACTAAAGTTGTATTTGCCCGAGAAAGGAATTTTAAAGACACATACAGCACTTTTATATTGTTCTAAACAAGACAGTGATTTAAAGAAGAAAGGTGGGTTATACCAATAGCATTCCATCTTAAAAAAGCAATTTTGCAGGAAGCCAACAAACAATCAACAGCTTTGCTTGTAGGATTCTTATAGCTACTTTTCTTTACTGTTCAAAAATATTGAAATATCAAAATACTTTTCTTTACTATTCAAAAATGTTTCAACTATAAACATAATTCCTTTAGGCTGGAGTGCAGTTCACTGAATGTCCTTTCGATTGCCATTTTTCTCAGTAAAAGTTACTTTAGGTTGTTAAAAAAATGATGGGCTGAGTAAAAGAAAGAACAATTTCTCCTTCACTTGATTTTCTCCTTGTAGTCCTGCTGGGATGGAAATGTAAGAAATCTTTTACACATGCACTTTAATACATGGCTGGCCTTACTTTGTTTAATTTAATAATTTACTGGACAGTTTGTTTGTTTTTTGTCATTCCAATACTGTTGCCTAGTCCAATGTAATTCTTTTTTTGGTTGCACAGAACTTGTGAAGTTTATATTTAGCAAAGATCAAACAGCTGCATCTGTTAGAAGAGAGATGTGATTCATGAAGAATCAATATGTCTTTTACTTCATCCTTTAAGCCTTTAATTTTAGCTTCTTTTTATAAGAAATATAGGAGATAATTCAGCCTTGATCACAGATGCATTAGTGTGTCCCATAACAGATAGTTATAAAAATGAGTCCCTTTTAATATAGAATGCAGAAAATTCTAATGTTTCCTGTTGCTGATCTTACCTTACTTCTTTTGCTACCATTGAATCTATAAAAATGGAAATGTCACCTAGTTGTTAGGTTTATCCAGGATTAGTATAAAAAGTGCATTGGATTTTTCTCCTCCATTTTACTGGAGTGAATCAAATTAAAGTATACTAACTAACTAACTAAACCCTACTTTTAGTTTTAATGAGGCAAATATCACAGTTAAACTAGGCAAAAATTGTACTCTGTGTTCTAACTTGGCACTATGTCTTTGGTATTTATGTTTAATGTTTTCTTGATATTATATTTTAGCTTGTTTTTCCCACTATTGTATACTTGTGAAATGTTGTTTTACCTTTCCATAGCCAAATGTTTTAACTTTAAATTACCACTGGCAATTTTACGTTGGTCATTTGCTGAAATAATCTGTTTCAGAATTCAGTTCTTTAGCTAAACTTGATCATTATTATTTGACTCCATTAAAATCCTTATAAGTATCGAAATCTCTGTTTGCATGAAGTTCACTTTCATATCTTTAGAAACACTAGATTTACATTAGATGTAATTTCAATCCTTCTTCCCATGAAAAACCTAGATTATGAAATAATTTCATTTTAAAAATGATAGATGATTTCATTTGTGGATTAACTGGATTTCTCATAATATTATTGCTTTGTTATGTATTAAAAATGAATATATTTTTATTCAGTATATTCTAATATTTGGAATCAAGAGTTATGGTTTTTCTAGTATGGAGCATGAGGTGACTATATCAAAGGAAAAATCAATACTTCATTAGGTATAACTAATAGGTATTGTCAAAATTTGAATTAGGTTTTGGATGCCTTTTAAAAGGCACAAGAACAAAGATTTTCAAGCTGTTTTTAGAGCTGTTATCCCAAAGCCTCCATTCTCCTTTCCTCTCCTCTCCTCCTTCCCCTTCCCATCATGCTTACTAATTCTGAAAACATTTTAGTTTGTAATACTGTTGTAGATTCTCTTTTATTCCATTAATTATCTTGAAGTAACAGAAGAAAAATAGCCCAATTATTAAAAAGCTTTAAGAGTGTCCAGGCTACATGCCTTAGCATTTTTGACTCTCAAAGCCAAATACAAATTGTTTTAAAGGTGTAAAAAATGATCTATTCCAAAATCATCTTGCATATTTATTGCACTGTCATGTGGATCTAACACATAAGAGATTTTCTTGGATTAACTGTATATCATTACATATCAGTAAAAGACTTATCTAAAAATCGTCCAAAAACACATTGCTAAAAGCAAACAATAGGTTCTACCATGTCTTCTTGGCTTAAATCACTACTAAAATATCCAAGTCACATAGTCATTTTACTTTTATGACGCTTTAAAACTATAGGACTTAAATGCCGAAGGCTTTGAATGAGTCATTCAGTATTCTATATGAGGATAAATTCCACTAACTGAAGGATAAATTCCACTAACATTTGAGATAACATTTTTAGCAATCTAATACTTAAGGTATGAAGGACAGAAGATAATTAGCCTTATCCTTGCAGAATGAGAAGTACAGTTATGTGAATTAGATTTTCTTAAGAACATCCCTTTCTATCCTTTGAACAGAAGACTGTGCTTGATCAAACAGTGTGTGTTATTAACCTGAAGTTGATTTTTTTTCTTTCCCAAGCATTGTCCAAAATAGTGGGACAATATTTCTCCTGGTTTCAAGTACTTTCATCTTAGTGTGTGTTTTTCATCAGTCAGCTAACTCAGGCCAAAGGGAGTATATATTTCAGTTCTCCCACTATCTCAAAAAAGCTGGGTTCAAGTTGGAGTTTTATTCCTAGCTTGGGACCACCACTTTTTCCTGTTTAAATCCCTCACCCACTCACATTTGATTCTTCATTTTAGCAGCGTTCATTATTACAATTGTGTGGCTGCTGGCAGTTCAAATGAACTCACTTCCAAAGTTATCATAGTGGAAGCACCCACACAATTGAGAAATGGCATATAATGGCCAGGGAAGAAAAGTAGTATGTTTTTCATGAGAAGAAGTCATTCTCTCATAATTTGACATTACTGCAGGGGTGTCAAACTTGTGGCCCGCAGGCCAGATGCATCACGTGCTGGCCCCACCCCCGCCCGGTTTAGCAAAGGGGAAAAAAGTTCCAATACGTCACGTGACACCGTGATGATGCGAGTTTGACACCCCTGCTTTACTGTATACTTGAAATCATGTAAAGGACTGCTAGTAAGGTTGCTTATCTTTTGATGTTTACCAAAAACGATGGTGGTTGAGAAATAATATTACAATAGTTATATGAATAATTATATGAATTAATGAAGAATTGGTCATTTAAAAAAAAAAATCAACCTCCTAGTGCAGTGACTGGTTTCAAGTACTTTTGGCCATTCAATGGTCACAAGTATAAACTATTCTTGTTCAAAAACTTTCATGTCCTTTTTCAAAATACTTCAGTCAACACTGATAGTTAAAACCCTACCATATATTCCATGGTGATATAGTATATCTTCAGTACAGTGTTTGAATAGTTAAACATATTATTTTATATGTATATACTATAGGAGATTTTGTCTGATTCATATGAGATTGTAAATTTTCGGTGTAAGGTTTCCTCTTTAAATGCAATCCAAACATACATCACTATCCACTACTCACCATTAATATTCATTATTCCTTTGAGGCTGGCAAGGTAATCCATCTTGAAGGGAAAGGTGATGGGTCCATTGCATAATAATGTAATATGTTTCCAAGTTCTGTGATCAAAACTTCAAAGAATGCAGCCAAAGTTTACATTCTTTTTTTTAGGCTTTTCCACGGTTTTTCTAGAAATATAGTATGAGCTGATGGTTATGGTATTTTGGAACTGCATGGATATGTGCTGTAACATCTATATCTAATTTTTAATTTGAGAAAATGTTTTAAAGTTTTAAAATATCCTGTTATATATTTCCCATTTTCCCAAGCAGGGAGATATTCCAGGAACAGCACTGCATAACTTTTTTTAGATACTTGTGCACTGAAGCTGGTTTTGACATCTTTAATTTGCTTGAATGTACAAAGAAAGCATAAAGAAGAAAAATACATTCCAATGAGCAGGCTTGATTATTAGTTCATCTACCAAGAAAGCAAAAGTCAGTTCTTTTTCTGTAATATATTCACTAGCATTTTTTCACATCAGTCATAGTTTTTCACTGTATTTTGTTCTTGTATTTTAATTCAATCTACTATATAGGCAGTCCTCAACTTACCACCACAATTGGGCCCAAAATTTATGTTGCTAAGTGAGACAATTGTTAAGTGAAATTTGCCCCATTTTATGGCCTTTCCTGCCACAATTGTTAAGAGAATCACTGCAGTTATTAAGTTAGTCACACAGTTGCTAAATGAACCTGGCCTTTCCATTGATTTTGCTTGTCAAAAGGCCACAAAAGATGACCCCATGATCCCACTGCAACACTTATAAAATATGAGTCAATTGCAAGTATCTGAATTTTGATTGAAATTGAGTATGGGGATGCTGATATAATTGTAAGTGTAAAAAATGGTCATAAGTCACTTTTTTCAATTATCGTTGTAACTATGAATGATCACTAAATGAACTGTTATAAAACGAGGAACACTGTATTATGGACAAGAGGAGAGAGAGTTTCAGATTGTGAGTTTGGGCTCTTTACCTGTAGTGAGCAATAGTACATTTAACATTTAAAAACCCCTGCAATATTTAGGTGAAAATTGATTAAATGATAAAAAATGCATGTAAAAATAAGATGTATATCTATTCCTTGCCCAACCCTAGCATCAATGAAACCATTAGCTTTATTTATTTGGAGGTGAAGAGAGTGTCACAAAATTAATCTGTTATTTCAGGAATACTTTAGTATTAAATCTGACTGCATGGTCATCACATCATCTAGTCTATGTAAACTTACATTATCATCATAATCTTTAAGGTGACATAGAACTCCCCAGTCCTTTTTGATTGCAATACAGTATTATTGTACAACTACACTATACATTCTAGTCAGATTTATCTGTCACATAGATTGGGGTGGTCACGTATTTCAGTGTTGATATATTAAAAATATGAGACCAGTCCCTGAATCAGGCACTCTGGAAACTATATTTTCCCAGGTTAACAGAAAATAATAATATAGCAAGCACTTTATATACTTGTCCCTTTATATCAGGGGTGTCAAGCCTGTGGCCCATGGCCGGATGTGTCACAAGCAGGCCACGCCCATCCCAGCTTCGCAAAGGCAAAAAACATTGTGATATGTCACTTGATGTCATGTGACACGATTGAGTTTGATGCCCGTGTTTTATATATATATTGCGACCTTGAAACATTATGGTTACAAATTATTTATTTGTAGTTTGAAGTTTTCCCCTGCAGTCATAAAACCGGAATCATCTTTTTAAAGAAGTTTAAATTAAATATGTAAATAAATACGTTTTGCAGATTTTTTTAAAACTAAGAAATTGAAAAAATACTTAACTCTCTCTTGCTTTTTCCTATTTAGTATAATATGGTATGGTTTAAACTTTCAGTAAGCAACAAGCGGCTGCTATGTTGTTCCCACCTGTTCATGGGAACAACAAAATGGCAGCCACATTGTGCAGCCCAGGCACAAACTGCTTTGTTTGGCTGCCTTAATAAGATCTGTGGAGTGCGGCAGAAGACTTCTGCAGCATGTGAATAGAGCTCTCTAAAGCAGCATAATGAAGCCATTTGCCTGGTGGCTACCATTTTGTCCCTGCCCACAAGCAAGCAGGACAAAAGAGTGACCATATTTGGATCACTCTTGTGTCATGTGACCCCGGGGCATGCTCTTCTATAATATGATGTCTGGAGAGCGTTCAAAAAAGTAAATGTGGGGCGTGATGGGCATGTGGGGAACAGGGCCAGGCTCTTCAGGGTTATAGCATGGTAGGATGGGGGAGAGAGGCAGGAGGACGTTGCAGCCATTATAACAATTGTCGGAAGAAATTTCCATCTGGTTTAGTTCCAAGCTGAGAGAAAGACACTGGAAACATGGAGCCTGATTGGAAAGATAGTTTAATGATGAACAGAACCACCAGCGTTTATGGTTCTGATGCAGCTGACAAAATGGAGTTGAGAGCGTGTGTGTGGGAGGGTGTTATACCTTCTTTGAGTTT